ATTTAAAAAAGTGTATATTTTATATTTTGAAAAAATTAGTGTTGGGGACAGATGGGCAAAGTAACAAGGAATTTAATTTAACTACAAAATTTATAAATCAAATACACTTTAATTGTAGATAGATGACAACGCAAATTACTAATACAAACTAATTAAACAATAAAAAGTAAACATTCACACATGCACACACTTGATTTTACAAAACGAATGGTACAAAAAAAAACTCGGATAATCTTTAATTTGTACGCGCGCTGATTAGCCAAAGCTTAAGACTTGCCTGGTCAAGCCCTGAGATCAGTCTGACGTTGCTCCAAAAATTTTCTAGCAGAGGCCGCGCCCCTACCCTTTCTTCCACGCTTTTCCGTGCGGTCGGAAGTAAGTGCGACCTATAGGGCCCGTTGTTAAATATCGGTGGCTCATTTTTTGCTATCTCTTTTTCTTTCTCTCTGCCTTTTCTCGCGGGGCGCTGAATAGCCTCGGATTAACCCACGTGTTATGTCCGAGCCGTTAGACTGAATTTCCATCGGTAATAGTCTTATGACAGCCTCAAAACAACAATTGTTTTGAGCTGCTAGCGTGCACGGCCCTGGCTACTGCGAAGCATCAACCAGGCACGTTAGACGAGTCAAGCAGAGAGTAGATAAGAGCTCTCGCGCGCCGAGGTGTCCATGGCTAAAGGTGCCATCACGGTCACGACGCTGGCGACAACAATTTCCCTTCGATACAACAACGCTTTACTTAACCATTGAAGGACGAATCCCCAGCTGACCCCAGACTCCCGAACAGGCGATGCCTTAATCAAACCCCACTCCACTCCGCCAGGCAAGCCGCGCGCAACATTCAACTTTCCTCACAATTTCGCTAATTTTAGTAACATGTTTCAATCAAACTTTTGCCCGAGTTTGCGAGGAGACCCTCAATATCTGGTGCGCATAGAACGTTGTTTCTTTTTTCTTTAAAAACTAAGTACCCGAGAAGTCGCGACCGTTTGTCCCGTACATATGACGACCTCCTGACGGGCACGCCTGATGCCTCTGCCCGCCAGTTTACGACCGACAAGGATCGCCGTTTATCGCGTACAGATGTCGACCTCCTGACGGGCACGCCTGATACCTCTGCCCGCCAGTTTACGACCGAAAAGGATCGCAGTTTAGCAAAAAACCGAAAGGTTTATTGCCGTGATCGTCGCGGCCGTATTTGTTTGGCAGATGGGAAGCACGCGAACCATGCTTCGCTCTCTCTTCGGTTTTTTTTTTTTTTGGCAATGCCATCCGCAACAATTAGTATTTGAAGTAATGTAGCATCTTAAATATAAAATTTAATTTTAAACAGAACAGAAAGGCATAAAGTCTTATCTGTATTTATTTTGAGTATAATCAATTTCAATTTCTTAACTATTAATGAATGATTTTAGGAAAGCGGCGAGAATAGAAGTATTATATTCTCAAATACAGCGTTATCAATTAGCTACTTATACACATTCATTTGCTCGTATCTGAATCCATATTTATTAACGTTAAGTTATAGTAGAGAGGGAAATGTCCTTTTTCTATTCAAGAAAACAATTTACATAGATTCGATGTAGAGATAGTTGATGACGTTCAAGATGAAAATGGAAAATAATATACTGATATTTCATTCCTAGAGTATGATTTTGTAAGTCTTCAAAAGATCCATAAAATCACACGTTCTCCACATGATATAATTCAAAATAAATCCCAATGAATAAGTTTCAAATATTGTAATAATTATTTTTACATTTGTATCGGAATGACTTTTGTACATTTAAGAATCTTAAGATAAATACTTTTATAGTTCATTTCAAATGAAAATATATTCAGTGTGAATTCATTTTTTACTTATTTGATTTTTTTGTAAATTACTTTGAGGCAATAATCTAATTTTTTAATTAAAATTGTGAGTAATTTCTGGATAGGTTTGCCGTTTAGGATATAATTGTTGTTTGTTACAACATTTGAGGAACAAAGATAATGAAAAACTTACGATTAATCAGTCAATATCCAAGGCGAATATTCCATTTGCTTTGAAAGTTGAAAAATTACGTTTGGATTGCAGGACAAAATGAGGTCAAGTAAGAACAGGTGGTATCTTAGGCGTGGATATTGTAGAAAATGTAGGAATTATTTAAATTTCTCATGATTCAATCTTTTATGGGTCTTCTGCATTATTCTCTTTTTTAACTATATGTCTATATCCCTGATTATCGCTTAATTTTTCCAAAGCGATAAAATAGTCTATTATCTAACTAGTGCAGGAAAATAGATTATTGTCTCGTGTGAGATTCAAAACCAGATGATGCAAGAGTGGAAAGATACACTATATATATATAAAAGCTATACACTGCGGCTCACGTACTTTTACTCCTTTCCGAGAAAAATTGTTTAAACTTTAAAGTTTCATATGTTCCTTCAAAACTAACGTATATATCACGAGTACATTCAAATCGTTTTTCTGATTTTTTCAAATGATTATTTATTGATGAAAATTCTAAAATTTTAAGTATATTTCTGATCTTTTGTCAATTCTAAGGAAATAATCGCTGGAAAATTATTGATCAAATCATCTACCTAAATCACTGATTCAAAAATTATTTACATGAAATATGACTCGCGTTTGAGCATTTTTCTCGAAATTTTACGTTTTTCTTTCAAATGTTCATAACTCTCTAAGTTCAAATCATAGAAAAAAAATGCACATGAAAGAAAAAAGTAATACTTTCCGCACAGCGTTTTAAAAATATGTGTTAGTGAACTAAAATTGCTCCAAGTAGGTGTAAAAGCCACTATAATGCAGTGTATATCCTCTAATTACTGTGTCAATGACTAGCTTTTCAATGTGTAAGAGAATAGCAGTATAATTAATTTGACAAAATTAATCTGCATGTAATTACTGTCAGTCAGATGTTTTAGTGTTTTTGTGAGAATATGTTCGCATATGTTTCTTCTCCTGATATTTCTTTTGCTATAACGTTCTGTAGCAACGGTTTTTTCATCGGAAACATTATTTGTTGTAATAATTGATCCAACTCATCTTCAAATATATTGATTTGTAATACCGTTAAATATAAATTTTGTCCATTCAGTTATGAGTAAATTATATAAATTTATTTATATAAGTATCGATATAAATTTGTACACAGCATACTCAGCAACAGTTCGTATTGACGTGTGAATTACACATATAAATCCACTGCCAGATGTAATAATATTAATCTTACTTATTTTCATGTATATCATAACATCAGCTTTCTATAACAGAAAATGCTAATTCAAGATAAAACAAGTTTTTATAAATTGTGTTGAGAGTGGACACGTATTCTTTTGTTGATTTTAATTTTGGTAAAATCATTCTAGTAGATTTTCATATTTTCTTATATCAATTGATTCATATATTAAATCAAGATTTTCTGATAAATCTTCAATGTGCGAATCTAAATCAGTAAATATTCTATCATATTATCATTAAAAGTGTCTTTAAACTTTTCGGTGAGCATAGTGTACATTGCAGTATTCGTGATTTTCATATTCTTTTAGTTAAATTAACGCGTTTGAGAAAAGTATTTTTTATAATTGTAGTTTGATTACAAGTACACTGTGCCCCTCGTATTGTATTGTATATGACATCTATTTGTTTGTTGATTCTTTGAACGTCAAATGTTGACACATAGTATCGAATAAATAATGCTGTATTAGTCTGCGAACTGAAAACTACTCACTACTCTAAATAATTTTCGTTTTTCTCTATCATGACTACTGAATCAGAGTAATATATTAACTTGAAAATTGAATTCTGTTAATATTATTACGTACTGTCTTCAACGTCAAAGCATAATTATAATCATTTTTTGTACATAAATAATGTATGTGAATAATTCAAAAGGATAGAGATAAATATAATACAGCAAATAGTACTTGATGATCGTTCATTTTTTGCGAAAAAGAAAAACGTTAGAGTTTCAATAAGTCAAAGATATATATACTTACCGTATGATTGATAGATAAAGCAAACGATCAATTATCTTTTCATTATTTTAGTAAAATGTTAACTTTCTCAAATTATAAAGGTAAAATTTCAACGAAATGTATCGCATTCATTAATAACAAAAAAATTTTATGCAACGATAATAAATATATAAATTTTTTTTAAATACAAAAATATTTACTAGAGCCCGACATATATACAATTCGGCAAAGTGCTTGCGCGAACGTCTAACACAGCTTGATCTTCATGCGCGCAGTAACTTTGCAAGATCTTGAACTGTAATAAATATTTTTGAATGAGCATGAAAGAAATTAAGTCTTTAAGAAAGAACAAATTTTTTGATTCATGAATAGATTTTATAACTTTATGTAAAAAAAGGGGAAGGCGTATAAAACAATTGAATGCTTGGAAAATGCGCTTTCTTTGTTAATATTAAATTACAATATTTTTAATTCTGATAAAAAATTTTACAATTTTCACTAAGCAGCCGATTTCTCTTGAATTGCAGGTAAATTTGAGAGCTGAACGGTTATTCTAACTGTATTAAAATAAAATGTATAACAATTTAAGCAATTGAATTATGGGCAAACCCGTATATAGAATGGTTTAATGCGTGAATATATGTGTTGACGTTCAAAGAACATTAAAGTTAATATTATATCACACGTTCGGAAAATGGGCCTCGTGACTTTTTCTTAATACAATAATACAGAGTAATACTTCTTTGTATACATTTATATTACGCACATTGCTATCATGCTTATAAAATTCAAGTATTAAACGTATATATAATGTATATTAATACATGTATTACAAGATATAGATAGACGTCTATTTACCACTAGCCATTTAAAAACATTAATAGGATAAACAAGATTTCCAATAGGCTTGCAACAGACTTAATTTCCAATCGAAACTCAAGTACATAATCGGCGGGTTATAATACGTCGAAATCATATTTAGCAGATCGTATATAAGCTTATTGAGTCGTACTATAAGTCGAAAATATTCCTGTCACAGTCAAGCTGCTGATCACTCTGACGAATCTAACTTATTCTTGTTTCATCTGCGTGAAAGTGTTGTGACAGGTCTAGCATTAAATTAGCGAATAGTTTATTTTTATTTTCAACTGTAAAAGAAATATATCGACGCAAGCAATGATAGAATTGATCAAGATTTCTTTTGAAAATATCTAAAACGGTTTGTGAAATTTATGAATACTATCGCTCTACCAATGTCACGTTCTAATGTTAAATAACTATTTCATTTAGTACTAAAACTAGAATCTTAAAGGTATCGGATATAGTTAATTTTGTACATGCAAAAGGAAAATTATGATGCAATCTACTGTTAGTTGTTATGAGTGCGCTAAAGAAGACTGCGATCTTCCTGACGAACGATTGCGATTGTGCAAGACTGAAATTAATGTAAGAGAAAGCTCTCATTTATTTAAAATGCCAATTATTTATATCTCAAATTTTCAAATACCTAAAAATGTTTTCGGTATTTCAGTGCTGGAAATATTCCCACCGAGCATTCGAGGATGAGATACAATATTCTCGTGGATGCATCCGCAGCTTCACGCAGTACGAATTAATGTGCAATAATACCGAGCAGGATAACACCAGACATCATTATCAATGTTGTCTAGGAGAATTTTGTAACAATGGCGATTTTCCGTTACTAGAAAAGTATGGTAAGAATCAATTTTTTACATTGCATAAATGATTAGTATGTACGCTGTTATAACTAATAATAATTTTTATTTGATCAATGATCGATACAGGTGATGGTGTCGGCGCATTAACCATAGTTCTTATAGGACTAACATTGTTTTTCCTAAGTATTTGTGCTATAACGGCTTACCGTACCAAACCGAATAAGAACAATGCATCTTCAGCGCATTCTAGACGACGGCACGCAACAGTAATGTTTACAGCCAAGTCCAACTCTGACTCAATAGACACTGACTTTCCTTCTGTCGACGATAGCTCAAATCAGGTAATAACACAAAATACCAATTCCATTATTAACATTAATATAGTTCGTTTGCGAACTGGAAACTTCTGATTCTCATGTATAATGAATTTTGATACTATTCTTTGCAGGAATACTCCAATGATCCAAGTATAGGGAATGGGTCCGGGTTTGGTACTTCCGTATCAATACAAAATAATTTACCAAAGTATATATCTCTAGTCAAAAGCTTGAACAATAGTAAATATGGTCCGGAGCAATCGTTACTGTATCTCGGATGTAGGCAGGACGAATGTGTGATCGTAAAAACGTACCCGAGGATTGCAGAAACTAGATGGATCCGCGAAATTGAGATTTACACAAAACTATTACATTTCAAACATGATAACATACTTCAATATATTGCTAGTGATAAAAGTGGCCCACAACTATGGATTGTTACGCATTGCCCGTCGAGCGGCACACTTATTAATTACCTCAAGGAGGTACCTTTAACTGAACACGGAATGTTCCAAGCATGTAAAAGTTTGACTGACGGATTGTCGTACTTGCACAAAGAAATAAAAGGTAAAAAAGGTAAAGGGGCAATGGCGCATCGAAATCTCAGTGCGGAAAACGTATTCGTTGAGAAAAATACAGTGTGTGTAATTGGCGGCTTTGAATACGCTGCAACGAATGATTGGATCGCTGAATTTGACTTTCTTGAACATGCCTATAAACGGTATATGAGTCCTGAATTGCTTCGTCCAGAGTAAGTCTCGCATTTACGTTTTGTTTTCGTCATTCATTAGCTCAATGAATTTCATGAAACAATTATATACTTTTAGCTTTCACGATGAAATTTGGAGTTTAACAAGTTTTCAACAAGCCGACATCTACAGCTTGAGCCTTATATTCTGGGAGATATGTCGCATGTACGATACAGAAAGTGATAGTGTTATCTATGTAGCTCCGTTTTCCGAATGGCTTACTAATTATTCACGAGAGCCCACAATTCAGGAGATGCGCGAATTGATTGCCGATGATCGAAAACCTGGAATTCCTGATCATTGGCAAAAGGACCCGGTATGTTGAAAAAGACAATCTTATTACCGTTCAAATCTTTAACTTAAATGATGTTTGACTTTTCAGATAATGAATTCGTTGAAAAGTATGATTGAAGCCTGCTGGGACACGAACGTATCAGAACGTTGGTCGCTTGAACGAATCAAAAAGATGCTTTTGACACTTACAAGATGATAATTTTTTAATTTACTTTGACGATAATCTCATTGAAAAATAGTTCATACCTGTAAAAATTATTTTTGATTCGAAACGACTATTCCAAAACACATTTCTTTAATTTCTAATATTTATTCAATAAACCTTTAACCCTATAACCTATTATCTTATAACACTGTAATAATTTGAATTTTCTAAAACGAAAATTCATATTTCAAGTTATTACCTATTCTTGTCATCTACATGGCAATAAAATTATATGATAATAAAAATTATGATGATGTGACTTGCGTAAGTCTCTACGTTAAGTGATCTATTTATTAACTTATTTTTATAAGACTGAATATTAAAAATTGTTAGTCAATGTCAAATTAAAATAAATATCTATTTATCGAAACACAAAGTAATAATAATAGTAATAATAACCCAATAAATAATCAAATTTATCAACTTTCATTTGTCTGCTCTTTCCTAATCTAATTAGTTGAATTAAGAAAACAGAAAAAAATAAAAATATGTGCAAATGTCATTAATAGTCCAGTAAAAATAGGCCTGAAATGTTTTTGTCACGGAAGTGGATGCATTTTTGATATATGGTAAATTGAGGTCGAAAAAGACGATTCTGAAATTTGCAGAGTTCTAGGTCCAGGGGTTCTATGAGAAAATCACATTTGAAACTTGTTTTCGCCTGTATCTCGCGAACGGCTGAACATACGACAAAATAACATGCACCAATCGAAAGAGCGTGAAATTTTACATTAGAAACAATGTTTAACTCGACATCGATGAGTGGAAAATGTTGGGATAAAAAATAAATAAGAAACTTTACGTGAATAAGGTAGAAGGGGAAGGTGGGGAAAACGTGGTATAGTTTCGCTCTCCTCCGCCGCCCCTCCAAGCGTGCGCAGACAGTCGACGACACTCGGCAATCAATGAAATTACCTAAATCAATGAAAATTACCTAGAAATGAAATTAATGATTAATTTTTTTATCTCGATAACAATTATATTAATGTATAATTTTGGATTATTATTCCGGGCACATAAAAAATAATTAATCTAAAAGCTCTTTGGAATAAAAATATAATCAAATTTAAGGACGAGGACCCAATATCGGACATTACTCAATATCGGCCATCTATCGAATCTCGAATTCATGCACTAAATGACCGCTCGAAGCTCATAAATTATGTTTATAGTGTTAATTTATGAAATTTCCATACATTAAAATCAGTCCGGAACACCAATTCCGATTTCTAGAACCTATTTTGTGCTCGAGAGCAGCGAATTTCTGGAGTCTTCTAAATCTCCTTAGCAGACTATCTCCGATTCAAGACATTCTAATAACTTTACTTATAAGAAGTCATATATCATTTAATTCGGCTTCTCCCGTCTTGTAAAATGTATCTTTCAAAATGCATTTTCAAATACCGGACATTACAAAGCATCTGTATAAACGAGTTATAATTATACTTTTTCATTTCCTTACATCTTTAAGACTAATAGAAATTGCTATTTGAAGCCATTTTCATGTTTTAGATGTAATTTTCAATTTCAAAAATACCTTTTTCACCATAATCCGGTATTATAAATTATAATTATATTTTTTTGATCGCTTACATCTTTCAGTATAACAGGAATTGATATTGAAAGCAATTTTCAGGATTTACACACGATTTTCAATTTCAAAAATACTTTATTCATCAAAGTCCGATATAGGGTACCCTCACATTTTTGTATCGAAAAAATGTAGTTTATTTAAAAGAGCAATAGCTCGAGCTGACCATCTCCGAATTGATGTGTCCAACATTGAGTCCCCGGACCTTATATATTTTATTTCTGGATAATCTAATATTACTCACCAGCGCTATTAACCCTTTAGGTGCAACTGGTTCTGTGTTCACTATAGGTATCATCATATTACTCGTTCTTTTCCATCCCCATAATACTGGATCTAATTCAAAATCAAGCCAAATTTGCATTTGGTAGTATACTCGTTTAGCATGCTCTCTCAATACTGCAGCTGTAGGTGGTAAATATTTTAAAGAAAAATTTTTTTTTTGCTGTTGCTGTAGATTTCGAAAAAATTGTATATCTTAACTCCTGCAGAGATTGGCTTTCTTTATATGCACCATATAATTTCATGATAAGTTTTTCAGCAACTTTACATATATCATCAATAGCTTGATTTGGCTTATAGTAGATGTTTATTAATTTTTGCAATTCTTCATCTTTTTGTAATAGTGCGATGATGCTTTTATTGCCTTGGTTATATTAGCACTGGTAGAATCGCACCCGGCAAAGGCATGAGTAAATAGAATATATTTTTGGAATTGCAAGTTTTCTTTACTAGAATATAATTCCTTTTTTGAGTTCGATAGTCTTTAATAAAAATATACATCATAACCGTCAGATTGTGTAATTAGTAAAATTATTAAATCAACATCATTACCAACTACTGCAACCACATTGTCAGTATTATCTTTTAATTCTATAGCCGTTCAAACAATAACTGTATCTGCATCTTCATCAGAAATTTTCGTAGCAATATTGTTTCTTTGCAGATATTTTGCAAGTAAGTCCACAAAAGCAAGTTTATTACAAATGTTTAAGAGAAATTTCTTCTGACTGATAGGTATTATTTTATCTTGAGAAATTTGTACATCAGCTCCAAAATTTTTTTTTTCTACAATATCTTTCGTATAATTTTACTCCAATTAATTCATTGTTATATCCATCAAAAACGACTGTAATATTTTTTCCAAAGTGCCTGAGATATAATAAATATGATTTATAAACGTCTTGATATGTCGAGTTGTGGGGCCAAACTACAGTATTCAATAGCCAGCCCCCATCTATTACACAAATCGTATCTGAATCCATTAACTGTAATTTATCATTACAAGATTTTAGCAAATCGTATATTTTCGATTTCTGTGATTTTCTCATCAAACCTTTTTCATTAAATAAACTTAAGGGAAAGGTGTAAGTTCATATGCAAAAGCTTCAAGTGTTTTTTGGGGATCCTCACGAACAGTATTACAAATCCTTTGAAATAATAAATGTGTATCTATAGTAGATAATCCACTATCATTTTCAAGGTGTGTACCAGTAGCAACACTTGCCAGAGTTTTCACTTTATAAATACGTGACAGTGAAATATTGTTAGTATTTTTACCAACCATATCTTCCATTCCCAACAGCCTCTTTTCGACTCCTTTGTAACAATCTATCTCTGGTCCACCAATAATTCCCGTAGAAAGCGATACTACGCCATGTTTATTTTGGTTGAAAGGATTATGATTCTGAAACCATGTTACAAATTCATTGATATCATTCGTATCCCTTTTCATTCTGCTATCAGAAAGATCGACGTGCTGTTCACTAGTGTACGATTTTAATCCACAATAATTTTCTAAACACTCCATTACATTGAAAACCGACGGCATAGAAAATAAATAACGTGCCACAACGCTAGGAGTGACGCTTCGGCCATGCTTCAAGTCCGTTCCAAAAAATCTATTCAATGTTTGTTCGATAATCATATCGCTCCATACACCAGACCATGCCTTGTCTGATCTACAAATGGTGAAATAGCCATCCTTAGTATAACGTTCAAATTCATAATGGTCCATCGACATATCTAATATTTCCATATCTTGAAGATAAATTTGAGCACATTTTGCATAAGCGCAATGGCCACTGGAATAAAATATTGGTAGCATATCTTTAATACTCTCTAAATGCAATTTCCAGTCGCCTAAGCGTTCTGCTTCTATAAACTGCAAAGCTATGATAACACATTTAAAATATTGTATCCACAATTTAGCAGTTGAGCTCTTTTTCTCCAAAACATCGAGTTTTTCTACCAATTCTCGGGATAAATGTTTCATGAAGTTATTATTCTTAATATTCTTTATCGACAAAGATTTATTCGCAAATTCACCAACATATTCTTCAAAGAGTTCATCTATACCAGCGGTGTTTGTGATTGATTTACAAATGAGGATAGCTATAGCAGAAAAACTTAAAATATGGGCTCGCATTGCTCTTGAAAACGTATGCCCGGTGAGCATTTTTTTACTGATTCTGACGCATATTGTTACGTCAAAATTCACGAAAAATGTAGAAAGGGGGACTTAGCTGATTTGAGTCGATTCGGCAGCAATATCGAGTAGACTGGCAGAAGATCCGAAAGGGCGTGGTGGAGTTCGTCGACGCCAAGTAGTCCTTAATCGCTCAGGTAGGGCAGATTGCCTCTGCGAAACTCGGGTCCTAGGTTCGGGTTGGAATGTCGCTGTCACCGTTTCTGTTTATTGGATGGTGCTGGGCAGGAGTCCCAGCAGTGATGTCGATGGTTCTTGTACTAATCGCTCGATAACTTGATCGATGAGGAAGGTATCGCACGAAATTAATAACGCGAAAAATAGAATTCAATGTCGCTTTATTCCGTGAACATCTTAATCAAGTAAAAGGTACGAGGAAGATACAAAGATATACGATAATAGAACTGTACGCACGCAAGTAGCGAAGAATGTAAAGTTAAAGGGAACGTCCGACCGAGTCAAGTGATGGGTACTGACTAACTTTTTACTGCTCTCCGAGTTGACTCGGACAAGGGTTCCGCTATTCCTTGGTTGGATGCAGTCAGCATTTTCTCCTTGGAAAGCAGTTTGATCTTGCGAAGCGTCTAGACTTGATAAGCTCATCTTCCAGATGGATTTGGTAGCACCCGGGTCGTCTCTGTTAAGGTGAGCGCGGAGTGCAAATTGGCGGAATGACGTTTATACTACGAGTTGCTACTGTGCGAGTATATATGTGTTATGTAAGCGATTCTGTTACTGAAATGGTGTATGCGTGCGTGTGTATTCTCTAGACATTAATTATAAACAGTTAACGATAATGATAGGGCGAGTTGGTGTCCTTATATCTATTATCCATTTTATATGTCGGTGTATAGTAGAAATTTCCACTATGCGGATTATATAACATTTTATATTTTATTATAATAACATTGTATTAGATTATATTATAGTAACATTGCTTATCGGGGTAATACTAATACTAAATAATAATAATACTAATGCTAATAATGGTAAGTGGTCATTCAAAGAAATCATATGGCCAATAGATTGCTTTTTATTCGGAAGGTGACTCATAAAGAAAAGGAACTCG